ATTGATTAAGTTGATATTTTCACAACCCCCCAGGTTAAATCACTGGCATATGGTCTCTATCCTAATGGTTAAGATTTGTATCAGGTGTAAAAACAAGTTGTTGTTTCTCTAGTCTTGGCTACTAAAACAGGTTCAAACCAGGTTTGGGTTTGGTTCATTTTATTCTCCGTTATCTTCCACTTGCTACTGAGTCAGTGGCGGCAAAGGGGTCCAGACATCTCTTTCCACATCCACCTCTTCCAGCTCGTAGGTTCCAATGAGTTCCCAGATCAGACGAGAGACMTAGTCTCACCAGTGCCTTTGTAGCCTGGCCCTTGCCTTCCTAGTTCCGCTCAAAGTGAAGGACAAGGGTCTGGTTTTTACCAGGCTAGTGCCTTCAGGGTCTTTCGTAGGGTCTTGTCCCAGTCGGACATATCTGAAAAACCTCCCAAGGGTCCTTGTCAGACACCCATACCACCTCACCCGACTCCTGATTTCAATATTGAATCTATTAATAGTCAGTTACAAGCAGATCTTCAGACATTTCATGGTTGGCTTCAAGATAATCTTTTGTCAATTAATGTTAAAAAAACTGTGTGCATGTATTTTTCCTCACCCAGGAGACATTTCAATATAACAAATCAACTCACTTTTTTAAACAAACCCCTTGATATTGTCACTGCCTACAAATATCTTGGAATTACTTTGGATTCTCATTTGACTTATCGTGATCATGTACAAGTCTTAACCACTAAGTTGAAACAGAAATTATACGTTTATTCAAAAATTAGATCCAYTCTGACATCTTCTGTTTCAAATATCTATCTTCATGCCATTATACTCTCAACCATATCGTACTGTTTACCTGTTTGGTCTCTTATAACAAATGAAATCTTAGAACCCATAGTTAGGCTCTACAACAGGGCCTACAAAATTCATAAAAAACTTCCTGGTTGGACTCATCACTGTACAGTTCTTTCATTGTCTGATGCCTTGACTTTTCAGAATTATGTTTTGTATAGTGGTATTAATTTATATTTTCAGATCTTCCAAGGTGCCAATTATGGAACTCTCTGTGCATTGTTGCCCAAATCAAATTCTGGAAGTGGTCATTCAACTAGATCTGTTACAAAAGGACAACTGATATTACCAACTTTTAAAAACTGTTACGGCCAGAGGTCTTTCTTCTATGTTTATACTAAAGCATGGAATGACATTCCTCAAAACATAAAGTCCATTTCAAAACTACAGCCCTTTAAGAAGAATCTTGTCTGCCATCTGCTGGACACTTTTTGTTGTGCTCATATTTAGAGGTCCTATTTAGCAAATGCTGCCTTTTTGAAATTTGGTATGCTTGTTTGTCTTTGTGTCTATGGTGTATAATGATGTGATTGTGATGCTGTATTTCTGAGTGTTTTATGTGCTGCAGAACAGGAACCTGCTGTAAAACAGCAATTATGCCGAGTCAGGCTTGATTTTTAATAACTTTTTTCTGTTCAATCAATCAATCAATCAATCAATCAATCAATCAATCCTAGATCTTGTTCTTAATGCCTGGTTCACAAGGCAAGATTTTAAAATGGTTGTTGATTTTCAAAATCTGAGAGAGCCCACAGTAAATGGGGAGTAAATAATCATGGCCGACAATGAAAACGTGATGGTGATAGTTTGGGGACTAACAGAGAGAAAAACAAAACAAAAAGAGTTCTCCAAAGTCCACCAGACATTCTGATGCACCATAGCAGTCGTTTTGTCTTCTGAAATCTGCATTCCCCCTCTGTGTTTCCATCACCTCACTTCCTGACTGGCATCACGTTCAACAGGCTGTGAGCTTGTTTGTCCTCGAGGAACACCAAACTCTGGGATAACGGGCCAAGACAATCCAACATCTTGAATATCCCTGATTTGAGTGGTCCCAACGTCTTTCTGAGCTGACTAGATCACTCTCAACTCACCACACACGTCAGGAATATCTCCTCAGATTATCTTTAGAGCCATCATGATAATCGGAGTGTTGATAAACTACGACTGTAGCTTATTTTTCACTTGGGTTCAACTAAACAGCATCCACAGCAAGTTACCAACAATATGCTAACTTTGGCTATCACTCAGTGTTGTATAAAGCAGTGTTTCCCAAAGTTGGGGTCAGGACCAAAAGTGGGGTCCTGAAACATCAAGGTGGGGTCCTGAAAAGATTTTCTGAATTAATTACGTTTTTGCTTTAGTTGTTACAAAGGAGTGAGGTTAGTAAATTTAAAATGGATAAATGTAGTATAAAAATATTGTTACTATGTGCGTGTTTTGTTGACCTGATACAAATGTTTATCATCCAAAAATAGTTGGGGGCACAGGTCTCTGCTACTGTTATTTTGTGGGTCAAAAGCTGAAAAGTTTGGGAACCACTGCACTTTGGTTCCCAAAGTTGGGCTTGGGACCCAATTATGGGTCATGAAGCACCTTGGATAATCTCCAGAAATCAATTTAAAGGGTAATAAAATAATTGCCGATGTAATATTTTCCCTATAACTATTACAAAAACACAAAATAAGTATAAATAAGTATTTATATTTGTGTACAAGCTGTTTAGATTGTCAAAAAGCCTGTGTTTTTAGGGTTATTAACGAAGTTTGTGTACTCAGACCAGTAATATTTGGGGTCACAAGTTTTTGCCATGGATATTTTGTGGGTCAGAAGATAAAAAGTTTGGGAACCACTGGTATAAAGTACCACGAAGTAATACTTGAGTAAAAGTACAAGTATTTTACCAAAAAAAATTACTTTGGTAAAAGTTAAAGTCTCCTTTAGGAATATTACTTGAGTAAAAGTCTTAAAGTATCTGATATTTTTTGTACTTAAGTATTAAAAATAAAAGTATTGATTTAAAATGAGCAGTTAGATTTTACATAATGACATTTATTAGGAGGTGACCTCCCCAAAACAATGCATAAATGAGTATATTGCTTTAAAATAATTAATTGATGTTAAATTTAGGATGCACTAGTCCAGTTGTTTCAGTTTATATACATATATCAAGGCTGCACAAACATTTTTTCCAAAATGAAAATCTATCTGAGGGCTGCGGCCAAATGTAATAATATAATTCATGAAATACAAATACTTCTTAAGTACAGTACTTTTATTTTAATGATTATGTCCTGCTGGAGTGTGACATGATTTGTTTGTGTACAAACCAAAACGGTATCAGAGTTTCACATATTTACACTTCTCATTCAACCACAATTAAATTCAGTCTATCTAGGAGGCACAGTTTATATGGATAGTTTTTATTTTTTTACAAAAACAAGCTGGAATGAAAACAAGCAAAAATGAAATAAAAGTAACGACTTTCTATTTATTGACATTTTTAAAAATGTAAGGAGTAGAAAGTACAGATAATTGAGTGAAAATGTAAGAAGTAAAGTAAAAAGTAGGCTGAAAAGTAATTACTCAAGTAAAGTACAGATACCAAAAAATTCTACTTAAGTACAGTAACAAAGTATTTGTACTTTGTTACTTTACAACTCTGCCATCACTCTTAGCTTATGTCCTCTGTCGTCCAGCCCTCTCGTCATTAGCGRTATTGATGGCTGGTCCGATACAGTTTTCGGTGCTTTTCTTTGAGGGTAATCCTTTATTGTTGTCGCAAATAACATGAAAGATTTGCCCGTTTGAAATATTTATAACCTCGGCTTTTCGCTGGTCTCTCACAAGTTTCTCATTTACTCCAAACTTTTTTTCTGCTGCTCTTTTTTTCTTTAACTGATAGGCTACAGCAGAGGAGCCCAAAGTGGGGCCCGTGGGCCAAATTTGGCCCGCCAAGCCATTTGATTTGGCCCACCAACAGTTG